TTTCCTTAGAGACCTTGAACTGAAGGTTTGTTACTAAATACTGGAATTCGTCCTTCCTCCCTCCTCTCCCAAAAGCCAAACTTCCATAAATGGATGGTAACGCTACTCATATTATTGTTTTTATTTGTATTATGCTAGCTTCAGTCACAGGTTAGACTCCTGAAAATTATTTGTGGAAGTACCTTGCATTCATATGTGGAGTTGAAATGTTCTGTCTTTTACTGTAACCTTATTAAATACTTTCTATAAATGTTTCCCAATTTCTTTAAAATAGCCATCTATTTTTGGAGGAAGCCTTAGCAAGAAGTACTTCATAGTAGAAATGTTTTTTGTTATAGCTTTAGGGACAAAGTCCTTTGTACTCTGTTACAGAGGTAAGTTCAGATAATGCAAATTGAAATGAAGATGGCTGCTGGCGTAGCTATGTTATATGGGGCTCTCAACACGCTCTTGATTCCATGTGCCTAACCAAAGCAGCAAAAGTTTGTAATAGAGGTATGGCTATAACCCTCATGGCAAGCTACCAGAGCTCCACTCTTGGGTGAAGTTATTGCAGAAATAAGTGGGGCTTTGTATGAGAACTGCTGTTAAAGCATAAAACAGACTCTGTTGAGCAGAGATCAGAATTATTGTTGTGCTTTTATAGGCACAGTGTTCTGCAACTGTAGGTTATGAACCCTTTGAGGACTGCAGAAGAATCTAAGGGGTTTCAGACCAGAGCAGTCAACAACAATTTGTTTTTCCAGAGCAAGAAAATGATGGCAAGTTACGCTTATTACTCTTAAGTATTCCTGAAAGCGAGGGGGGAGCTATTAACTGCCTTCTGTTGCTGGCAATCACATTATCTTCCAGAATGGGGAGACAGATACAAAACACTTGCAGCCAGCAACTGCAATTGTTACCACCTTGACTTTTTCATCCCTCAAGTCCTTACAGAAGTGAGTTGATGCCAACTCAAGGGATTGGTTGAAGACGCATGATTCAAAACAGTGTGATGGTTGAGAAACATTCACCTGGCACAACAGTTTGCTGCTCTAGAGGGAAGGAAGTTTCTTAATGTCATTTTAATGTAAATAACATTAAATATCTGGTTTGACTGTTAAAGTCTAGTGCAGACATAGCAAAACTGAGTGCAAGACTTGTATAGATAGTGGGAGAGTCTGCTCAGAAACTGCAATGTACTCGCATACATTGGAATTGGCCTAAAAGAATTTATTGGCTTAAAGTGCTAGTGGTGTTGTGCTGTGTACAGCACAAGCAAAGTGACCAGTGGCTGCTGGCTCTTAATTGCTGTGTGTGGGTTACTATACTTGTAAGAACTTGTGGGCAGGTTCTAAGAAAGCTTAAGGTGCTGTGCTCCTTTTTGGAAAGGAGCCTTCTGTCTTTTGAGGCGCACCAGCTACTTACTGATAAAGATGAGGGTTCATGTTGCCCTGTAGTCCTGAGAAATAGAAGTGGTCTTGGTTTAATGACAGCTTGTTTTAGATTTGACTAAGTAGGTTTATCGCTTCCACCCTCAGCTACAGATGTGTGTGTTTTAGAAAGGAGTTTAAAAGTCATGTTCCAAACTGAAGCGTTAACTTGTCTGAACCTTTATGATCCTTATTGTTGTTTATGAACTTTGGATCAACTCAAAGTACTTCAGCAGCAGGACTGGTGAGGATGGGCAGCCGCGTTGTTGCCTTATCAGATACCATGCTTCTGTTGGATTCTGGGAAAACAAAATTATGAACAAGCTAGTATTAAAACTGAACTGTGGAAGGTGGTTGTTGAGTTGGCTTCTTCAAATTCATGATGGAAACTGCAGTTTCGGTTCTTAAGAAGCATCTACCATTGCTGTAATTGCATCCCAAATAACATTTGTTTGTTTCTTATTCTCAGGTTTTTCTTGCCCAGTGTGATACCATTGAAGGAAATATTGGTCAAGAAATGGACAAGCTACAGTCAAAGAATTTGGCACTGGCAGAATGAGGCATTGTCCTACGTAATTAGGAAACATAATTGCTCTATGAGCAAGAAGAAAAGTTTGCTCTTTGTTTTGGAGCACGTATTCAGCTTTTTTTTTCTTTTTTTTTTTTTTTAAGCCCAGTCTGTTAGACTGGTACTAGTCAATCCTTTCTTGCTGGTTGTCTTGTTTGCCGCTTGGTTAGACCTATTATTTTGAAAAGAAAATCCTTCCTGAAGAATTGCAGAAATAATCTTTGTGGTGAATTGTTATGTATCTTATGGGCGAATGTTTAGTTAACTAAGCTACAAAGTTTGCAGTGATGGACAATTTTGTCTGATGTGTCTTTGAATTTATTTACAGCTCAAATCAAAGAAGGTCTATAATCCTACAAGTGCCGTAAGTTGCAATTGTAGGACTTCAGCTTGATTGAAAAAGGCAAACTGAGATGACATCTGGGAAAGTCGAACATTGTAGTAGACAGTTCAGAGCAATAAAAAAACCCCTACGCATTTGTATCTACTTAATGTTTGTATACATTTATAAATATAAGAAAGCTTGACTATAAGGGAGTCGTACCTATTTTAGCCTTAAATTGTCATAATAAATGGCATGTACTGTAACATGTATGGTACTTAATTTTGAGTGGTGCTTTAAGTTGTTATTGAGCTCCTTGATACAGACGTATGTTTTTTTACATAGATTTCTGATGTACTGTGGTTTTTATAGATTATTCTTATTTTTATTGTTTGTGTTCTGTCTTGAGTTATGGTGGGAAATTAAATGAGATTACTCATGCTGCTCATATGCCAAGGGTTCAGTTCAAGCAAAGTATAACTAAGGAGCTATTTTGAAAGGTTTTTTTATACTTTTTTTCTGATTTGACTGAATTCATGATGCTGTATTTACTGGAAAATTGCAGTGATTATTTCTAGTCTGTTAAGGTAATCAGTGAATTTTTATAACATGTTACAAAGTGACATAACTTTATTTTAGCAATGCCATCTGACTGAGGATTATGACTGATTCTTGCAGTCAGATACGTGCCATGCTTAGCCTTCTCTGTTAGGTGAAAAATAAGCTTTTGCAGGAGATAGTAACTGTCAGCAGGTGCAGCCAACTTTGCAGTTGTTGGTCAGAGCCCGTAGCTAACGTACCTATAGTGGGATTTGCTTTTTCACGGATGCTTCTGGTGGGTAGGTCAGTCATCTACGCAGTGGCTGGTGAAGTATTGACTGGTAAGGAGCCTGTTTCTGTGGGGAAAGAAAAGCGCTTTCGTCTCAAATGAGTCAGACAGAGGGTGTTTAGAAATGGCCCTTAGGTAGTGAGTCTTTATCCATATGTGACTGCTTTAAGATTAGCTGTCCTTTCAAGATAAAAATAGGAAATGTCTGTTAAAAAAGAAGTTAACTTCTAATAAGTTATAAACCTTAAATAATACCTAAAGTATTATTATTAAAGTGTTATCTTTGCTGTTTGTAATTGGAGGAGCATTTCTTTAGTGAAAAATGCCATTGGACAAATGAAGTGATAGCCCTGCATTAGAAAGGGTCACTTTTATTCTAAAAATGCCTTTTGACCATATCAAGACTGGAGTATTTTTTACTGTTAACCAGTTTCTTCAAGGTTGTATTTTTTCCATATGTAACTCTCTTCTCAGCATCTCTGGAGGATTTTAAGGTCTAAACTCCTAGGAAGCTTGTCTGTCATGCTAGGAAATTGTATGTTTGGTAGGACCGTGGATATTTTTTCCTAGGCTACTAATCTGGTCATGCTGCATTTTCCCAGCACTTTAAGGTTAGGAGGAAGAAGAGTGGCTTGTAGCCATTTTTGTGAAGCCCTACCTAGTTTTGTGCTGCTACTGGACCAGATTCAGCTGACTCTTAAACCACCAGCAACACTATTGCCTAATTCAGGGGATGCAAAATTATCCACTTTCCTGTGATGGAAAGGATCCTCACCCTCTCAAATGTAAGTCCTCTAATGCATTGAACTTTCACAGGTGCATGTATAATAAGCAAAGTATCCTCTTGTGCCCATGAAGAAAACTGGGAGCTGTGGTCATGGCTAGGACTGTGTCTGTTTCTGCTCCTCCTTTGTATTTTTCTCTCTTGGGCGAGAACACTGAGGCTATAGGCAGACATCGTCTTCCCAGCACTCCTTCCCAGAAACTGCTGCTTCTTGAGATGTGCTTGTGTGAGTACATCCTCAGCCTGTCTCAAAGCCAGGTGGATTAACTTTAAGATGTTCCATAGTAGACCTTTTGATAATCTGGTACTTTGAGGCAAAGAGAGCGATGATGAACCTGTCCCACCAGCATGTCTGGATTCAGCAAAGGGTGCGAGTCCTGAGCTGAAGGTACCTTACAGTGGTAACTCCTGGTATCAGTGTGTTCGGTTTCTAGGACAAAAGTATGTGTATGAAGACAAACTTTTGCAGTATAAAATTTTTTGTCTTCCAAATACAAAAATGAGTTGATTCGTTTTGGAAAACGGATGGTTGTATTTAGAGTTCTCTAAGACCTTCTAGAGTGGATTGACTTTTATACTTAATTTTGAAAGAGGAGCCCTACACTTCATTTTTTCATAATAGCCTTAAATTTCAGTAAAAGCAAACTTGTGTGCTTTTGAAAAGTGCAGCAGACTCCAGTTGTGGGAGGAAGGGGAAGGAAGAGGAGATTTTAAATATTCGTCAGAATTTGTAAAGGTAAACATAGATCTCAATCAAGCTTAAGATATTCTCACTGATTCTGTAGTCTAGGTGTACTGTGATACCTATTGTGCTACTGAATCATTTCCCCACCCCAACTATCTGCCCTGATCATGTCAAAAGAGAAGTGACTCCCTCTTTGCCTTAGTTACACTTACCCCATCGTCTTCCTCCAGTTGCTGTGCTGCTCTGGCTGTGTTTCCACACCTGGGATTTGCTGGCCGGGCAAAATGTCTTACCACAAAAGTTTGCCTTTAGTGAAAATAGAGATCGAATCACACACTTCCCTGTTCCCCCTTTCTCCCCCAGCTCCCTATAAGCTGTTGTGTGAGACGAACCAAACCCGATGCTCAGGGAGCTGCGGAGTCTGGAGCCGTGGGACGGCTTGCTCTCTGGGAACAGCGTAAAATACACTGCTTGTAGTGGCGTCCTCTGTGACCAAGTCCTCCTGAAGGTAATGTCGCTGTAAACCTGGAGTGACGCTTTCTTGACGTTTAACGGTTGCTTGTGGTTTGGAGTGGAGTACTTGACACCGTGGAACTTGGGGCTAGATTTTTTTTTTTTTTAGTTAACTTATTGTATTTCATAAACAAAAAATAAAATATGGAAAGTTCTCTGCTGTCCTTGGTCATGATGCGGTTACTAAACGCTGTAGACGTGCTGTAGGTGGGCTGTATTCTAGTGGGGGAAACGCGTGCCGCTCTCATGTTGCCGTGTGCCCTGTGCAGGCGAGTAGGGAGCGTTTGGGCGCAGCAGCGGGCCGTACCAGGCCTCCCGAAAGCGGGCAGGGAATCAAAGCCTGAAATGTGACCGTGATTGGCAGAAAGCTCAGGCATAAAGAAAAGCTAGGGGTTTTTTAAGAGCACTTTTCACCGTTGTGTTGCACACTGAGGGTTTCTGGATCTGGGTGGGTGGGTGGGATGTAGTGGGGGTGTTTTTGTTGGTTGTTTTTTTTTTTT